GAAACCCTAATTAGATTACTTAGTCCTTAAGCAGTCCAAAGATCCTTCTAGATTAGGGCTTGGACGAATTCAAGGAGTCCATATACCTTAATTTCGTCCACCCTATGATCCATAAGGATCCACAGCTCAAAAACCAACTATCACACAATTGACAGTTCCATTCCCCTTTATTTAATTAATCTCTTTTAGCCACAGAATTAATTCTTGTCTAATATTAATTAAACTATATGATTTCTCCTTTAATATATTAATCATTTAATATATTAATAAATCATACTAACCTCTTTATATATAAATCATCCTATCATGTTGCTTTGGTGAAGGCAACCCAAAAGGATCATGCACAACCGGGTCAAATACTTACCAAATATAGTTACGGGCTTAGACACTAATCCAACAGTACTTAGGAAGGTTCACCCAAGAATAGTTGAAACACCTTCGTTTTCTTTAGTATCGAGGACCACAAAGTTAATTGGAAATACAAACTTTCTAACTTTAACAAGTAAATCCTCTACGATGCCTTGAGGATATGTAATGTCCCGGTTTTCCATGTGAATAGCCATCCTCTTCGGCTTTAACTCCAGGAGATCAAGCTTTTTGTAAAATGAATATGACATCAAGTTAATGTTAGCACTCGAGTCAGCTAGTACATTCGTCTTTGTAGAATTGCCAAATCGCAAGGAATAGTAATACTTCCTGCATCTTTCATCTTTGTTGGGATTTCTTGCTTAACCGCTGTCGAAAATTGTTCCTTAAGTACTACCCTCAAAGCTTGTTCTAACTCCTTTTGATTGCTAAGAAGGTCTTTGAGAAATTTAGCACATTTTGGCATTTTGAGCAATGGCCTCTATAAATGACATGTTGATTGAGAGTGACTTGGCTTGCTTCATGAACTGTTTATGCTCTTGTTCTAATTAGAACATTTTATGTCGTCCTAGATATGGCAGTGGTGGCTGATAAGACTTCACAAACGGATTTTTGGGAATCTGAAAGGATGACCACAACGTGACAGTGTTCTCACCATGTAGTAATAATTGGTAGGGGTGTTCGTTTGGATGGATCGGTTTTATCCGATCCAAAAAAGTGAATCCAAATTGATTTCGGTTTTCAAAACATGGATCCAAATAGTCCAAACTAAATTCAAATCCGATCCGATCCGATCCAATTACAATTCAGTTGGATCGGTTTTTATAATTCGGTTTTCAAAAACCGAAACATTTTAAAACGACATATAATTATAATATTTCCCAACTTTACACAAGAAGCGAAAACAAATTATTTAGTTGTGATTTGAATTTTATAAACAATACTAAGAAGATATATTATAATTAAATATTTTATGGGTAGAAAATTTTTGAGAGAAAATGCATATTAATGTTTTTTTATCGGGTGAAACGTTTTAAACCTATTTGAAAAAATAAATTACAAAATTAATAAATGAATATAGATATATATTATAAATAAATAAATAAATAATGTTTATTCTGTTTTTTTGGACTATTCGGTTCTTATTATATAAACCAAAACCAATCTGAAATCCAAAATAATAATTCGGTTTTGTTGAAAACAAATCCAAAGATCCGAATATCCGAACCAAATAGTCCAATCCAAATTGTCCAATTGTCCAATTTGGTTTTATCTAAATAGTGAATAGCCATAGTAACTGGACAATGGTATTTCCATGTTGCTTTTCGGCTTCTCCTTCGGGCTGTTGATCGCCAGATGTAACGGTTGTTTTTAAAAGTACCAAAGGCTCAGACTTTTCTTCCCCTTGAGTCGTAGTAGCTAAAACATGAGCTTTCGGGTTGATCTCGGTGTTGCTCGAAAGAATACCCGGTAATCACTTGTGCAAAAGTATTGAAAGTTGCCCGACTTGTTTTTCTATGTTTAGAATCGAAGCTTGTTGGTTTCTCTGTGTTGCTTGCTAACCTTTTATGGAAACTTCGGTGTTACTGTGTTGTTTTTCGTAGGCTTCAACAAAACGAGTTAAAATTGATGGTGTTTTGAGATCTACCTGTCGGTCTAGGGTTTCAAAGTTGTGTGGGTTACCGGAGATGGAGCCTTCATCGCCACCTGTTAGGTTGTACACTAGTGATGTAGTTACAGGTCTAATTTGCAGAAGCATGCGTCAAAAATGAAAAAAATAGAGAGAGGGAGAGAGAGAGAGAGAGAGAGAGAGAGAGAGAGAGAGAGAGCGGGGAGATGTAGTTACAGAAGCAGCGAAACAGCAGATATGTAATCGTCAGCATATTTGTAGAAAATAGGAGAAGGTGGCCGAGAAGATATGCGATGGTGGTGCAAAAGTGGCAAATGGAGAAAAGAGAAGACAGGCGGAGAAAAGGAGGTTGGTCTTGTCGAATCTGTAACTCATCAACATCCAAAAGCAGGTGGGTAGTGGCTGCTAGGTTAGTCGGCAATCGGAATAGAGAGAAAGAAGTAGGTTGGTCTCGTCAGAGAAAGGAGGAGGGGTGCCGGAGAAAGGAGGAGTGTTGTTGAGAGTGGGTGAGAATGAGGGAAATAAAGAAAGAAACCGGGAAATAGAAGAGGGAAGGGGTGAAATATTTATTTTATTTATTTATTTTTTAATTCAAAAACTGATAAATAAATAATAAAAATTTAAAAAAAATAAATTATTAAGGGAAAAAAATCATTTTAAATCTTCAAGGACAGCCTGAGTGAAACGAAAAACATTACTCACACCGTTCACTTTAATTTTTTAAAATAAAGACTAAACATGTATTTTACCACAAAAGAGAATTCATATAACTTAGGGATAATGACTTAAAATGGTAACATATTTCTTGATTTGTACACATTTAGTCACTGATTTTTTTTTTGTCCACATTTCCCATTGAACTTGTTGAACTGTTCAAATAACATCCTTATGACCTGCTATTGGAGGTTTAGCCGGTTTCCAGCGTATTTGACACCTCCGACGATACTCCGGTCATCTTCTCCGGCAAGTCTCCGACATTCATGATTTTTCCGGCAAAGATGAACACACATACTTCAGATTTGCTTCAGCTTCTATTCTCCCCTTTCTTTTTCTTATATTTTCTCATGAACTTAAGATCTGTGATGAACACACATACATACACATCATATGAGTGTATGTGTGTTGTTCCAAAATCAAGCATGAACACATCTGAAAATCGTTCCAATAAACCCATATCTTATGTTCAAGCATGAACACATACACACAAACACTTCTAGAGATTGTTTGATTTATTTGAAGAAGATGAACACACACATTGATTTTTGATTTCTGTGAATAAAATGAACACACACACACACACAGATACCTTGAAGATCATTTGATTTTTGGAAAAAAGATAAACACACACATCGATTTTTGTTCAAGAACACACATCGATCAGGGAAAATGAAAATGGAACTCGAATTAGATCAAAACACGATTTTTGTTTAAGAACACACATTGTTCATACACACGATTTTTGTCAAGAACACACACATCGATTTTCAGATATCTTTATTCAATTTTCAGATCTTCATATATCTTCATTTGATTTTCAAAAATACATACCCAGATCTTATGTGTGTGTTTGTGTTATTGTGTTTATTATTTAAAAATCGAAATATGAAACTATGAACATGAACACACACTCAAAAAAAGTTAAACATGGGTAAGAGGGAAGCACGTGTGTGTGGATCTTACTGGGGTCTTTCCTCTCATCGGTTTGAGGAGCGGGGGTTTCACAGCAGGGCATGCCGCTTTCAAATCCATTGCGTGCAAAGTGGCAAAGCATGAGAATGCATGTATAGAAAATCAACATGTGTTTGTACCTTTTGCATTTGATACATTTGGTTTTCTCGCACCAGAGGCGGTGGAGCTCCTCAACAGAGTCCAACATGTCATGCATTCTAATGTCATATCTCCTAGATCCACAAATGTTGTATTCAAAAGAATTAGTTTTGTCATCCAGAAAGGGCGCCGGCTAGCGGTGCAGCTTGTTGCCCGTTTGCCTTCCATCGATATATATTGAACTATATTACTCTATTTATGTTAAGAGAATCGATTTATTTTTTTTATTGAAAAAAATTCTAGAAATTAAGTTTGCTCTTCAAAAATCGAACATAAAATCGTTTTTGGGGTTTTATTCTTCAAAAAACTGAAGCTTTGGTCAAGACATCGGTTAAGATTTGCTTAAGAGCACCATTACGGGAGGTTGGAGACGATGAACAGTAATCTGATGCGTATGTTCATCACAGATCTGAGTTTTTGAGTTCATGAGTAAAGAGAAGGAAGTGAGAATGAGAGAATATACCGGAGTTCTTGACTACGTCGGAAAAAATCATGAACGTTGGAGACTTACCGGAGAAGATGACCGGAGTCTCGCCGGAGAAGATGACCGGAGCTGTCAAATACGCCGGAAACCGGCCAAACCTCGGATAGCAGGTCATAAGGATGTTATTTGTACAGCTTAACAAGTTCAATAGGAAAATATGGACAAAAAAAATCAGTGACTAAATATATATACAAATCAAAAAATATGTTATATTTTTAAGTCATTATCCCTATAACTTACTGCTTTTAGTATTTATTGTGGTTTGACTGCAACAAAAGAACTTAAAAGGGGGTGTTTGGAGTCTTATACATGTTATATTTACTTCACACAAGAATTTAAGTTAAAATTATTAGCAATTTACATTTTGTAACTTGAACGTAATATTTGATGGATTATCTTTCTTTTTTTTTAATCGACAGAATCTAATCTATTTCTAAAACCAACACCCCATTTTATTTATGGTCACGACGGGACTTTAATCATCGACCACAAAGAGAAAGAACACCACCTAATACCGCTACATAATTTTTTTTTGATAATTACATTTTTTTTCTTAGAATGTTCTTTAATTTATAAGTTTAGCACATTTTTAATACCACCTGTACATAAAAAAAAATTGGGGTTTCTTTAAAATAATAAATAAGTGCTTATGATTTAAACTAAAATCTTAAAAACTCAAAAAATGGATAATTTATTCCCTCCAAAGAATGTCAAAGTCAATCTTGCATACAGTTCAAATTAAACTCGTCTGCTAATACAAGTACACAGCTATATTAAAAAAAATTGCATGAAGTCCATACAGAGCTACAACTCCGCAAATCACAACCGTGGTTATCAACGCCGGTGGATCATAAGTATGGCCGCTGCTGCTACCGTAAGGAGTTTTGTCATCAGCCTTTGACTGAGACTCGCCGGAGTCTGAACCACCGGAAACTCCTCCAGAACCACCCGATGGACTCCCACCGCCCACCAACTCCGATGGAGAAGCCGCAGGACCCTACACATTATCAAAAACACATTTTAATAATTCCAATTATTTCATATTAACTTTTTTTTTTTTTAAATTCCATTTTCTTACATCATGTGATCGTCTCTTTGGTGTAGTTCCATTCAACACTCCGATATCGTAAACTTCTGTTAAATCAGGTCTGAAGAGCCCAAAATTCCTCTCTGCAAGCGAACCTGGCTTCTGATTCTCGTTAAACAACGCAAAAATATAGATTTCGAAGTTCTTTCCAGGCATCAATGGCGTCCCTACTTTAGATGTAGACTTCTTAATCATCCCATCGTTGTATGATTTTGCATTATCAGCGTTCACCCACGTAAGCCATGGTTCACCTAGTGATGGCCACCCTGTCTCCCCGACAACAATTGGCACATCTGCAAATCCCAGTTTCTTCATCGCCGAATAAATCGCATCCATCAATGAATCAAACATATTATCATACTTTTTCCCGGTTACTTTATCGACAAAACCTGGGTTTGGTCTGAATAAACAGTAGCTATCATTTCCCGGTGAGTATCCAAAATATGGATACGGGTTCACCATGAAAGCGGAATTGCTTTCTTGTAAAAACTGAAGCATTGGCTTTATGATTCCAATGTCCCACCCAGACCGGAATGCTCCGGAACTAGGTGGGTCCGATGACACCATAATGCCAAGCGAATGTGGGGTTGTGACTTTTATGTCACTGATCCCCGCCTTGAGTAACGCTTTATGAATCGTTACCATGACGGGGACCAGGCTGTCGATAACGTCAGGTGTCCCCCAATGGAGGATCTCATTACCGACAGCAATGTAACGGATTTTGGTGTCAGGATAATAGGGTTTGATTTTTTCCTTGACCCATTGCTCCGCCTTGGCATTATCTTTAAGTGACGGGATGTCCCCATTGGGGACAGTAACCGTTACGTAGATGCCAGTGTTTGCAAACGCTTTGATGATTTCGGTATTCATATCGAAGATTTTGATACGATCGATGATTGTGTTTTCTCTAAGGAATTGTGCGACTTCTTTAGGTGGAGGTAGGTTGTCAGCAGTTGTGCCATAGTTTACACCGATCGGGTACACGGGCACGAAAATTTGGAAGAATGTCAAGAAAATAAGAAGGCGGGACGTAAAGAAATGGCTCCACATCTTCATCGTTGTTCTTTACAACATGAAACAAACATGAACATTTTGGAAGATTAATATATTTTTAGAGTTAGAAAGTAACTAAATTGCTAAAGATAGATATAAGATTGGATGGGCAAGCGATTTTTAAGAACCTAAAATAATTAAAGGTAATGGACGGGTAAGATGTCATTTAACGAACTAATAGTTTACAGTTGAGTTTATTGCACATAACATGATCCATTAATTTTTGTCGTTTGAAATTAGAGAAAAACTCACAATGTATATTACACCGATTGTGAAAGCTTGTTTGCGCCTTGTCACCACCATGGGATCAATCACCTCGCAACATTAAATCAATTTTCCACAAAAATGAAAGTAACTCCCTCAAATGATTCTACCTCAGAAGATTAAAAATAGCTTTATAATCGAAAAGAACCAATAAACTTGTTAACACCTTTGTTTGGGTCGAGTAATTATGTTCTCAAACTCGCCAAAAGCATCGAATTTGTCGTTGTTTAATTTGTTTCTTAATCGATTACAAAATATATCCAAGAATTAAGAAGGTGGTTTTATAAGAAATATGACTTTGAATGGAAAGAATTTGGAACAAATCTATCCACATATATCGAGTTATCGATAAAGGATGAAGAGCATTACAATTGGAAAAGGGTATGCGTAAATAGGAATTTTGGTTGGTTTATTAATTTATCCACATATATCCACATAAATAGGAATTTTGGTTGGTTTTATAAGAAATATGACTTTGAATGGAAAGAATTTGGAACAAATCTACTTATCGATAAAGGATGAAGAGCATTACAATTGGAAAAAGGTATGCGTAAATAGGAATTTTGGTTGGTTTATTAATTTATCCACATATATCGAGCGATTTCAACCGGTGAATAAGGAAGCACAAGAATATATAATCAACCAGTCGATATCTCGCGCGTTGCGCAACTATAATTAAAATATTGATAAATATATATTATTAAAATAAATATATTTACGTAAGTAACTTTAAATTAATAATTCTTACATTAATTTATTATAAACCATTCTAAGTATTTTAAATAAATGATAATCATTACCAAATATAGATATAGGAAATTACTTTCGTAATAGATCTATGATTATCAAATAATAGATCTCATATTATTTTATTTAAAGTTACATCATCTCAATGACCACTACCCATGAAAATAAAAATAAACTCAATTTAGATAGATATATTTTATGTGATATTATTTCAATGAAATATATCTATAGGTTGTGTGTTATATTTAACATTTTATTTATATCTTTATTAATTTTAATAAATTTTAAAACTATTTTTTGATATAGGTTTCATATTTAATATTATATTTAAACTTTTAATATTTTTAATTTATTTTAAACTATCTAAGGAAAAAATTATTATTATAAAAAGTAGATTTTAATCAATTTTTTTTATTCATTTGACATTTGTATTTAGATCTTATATTTAAACTTTTTAACTATTTAGAAAAAATAGGTTTTGAATATATTATAAAACTATGTTTTAATTTAACATCATATTTAGATTAACAAACTAACTACGTTATAGTGAGAATAAAGAATTAAAATTGAAATTATAATAATATTGGATTTAATGTATTAATTTTAAAAGAAGTTGAAAAGTTGGGGATTTCAAATGAATGTGGTTGAAGAAAAAATGTCTATATTATAAGTATACAAGGCGAATACCCGCGCGCTGCGCAAAATACAACAATATATTTGAAATTTTTATAAATATATGTTTTTAAATATATCAATGACATTGTTATTAGCTTTTATATAATAAATCTTATAATAAGTTGGTATAAATATTGTTTGTTTTGAATTATATGATAATTTAGATATCTTTTAAAATTGTATAATCCTAAGTGTTTTAATGACGTCTACCTGCAAGTTACTTATGAATAAAATTAAATATAATGTATGATTTAATGATATTTATAGTTGTTGTTATGATTAATTAATTTTAAAAGTTTATTTGCTTAAGATTTTAATTTCTATCATTGTAATTATTAAAACATCAAACATTGTTTTTGTTTTTAAAGACAACAATATAATTTTTATATATAATTTTACTTTTAACTATTGTTGTTGTAAGTTATTTTGAAATAACGTATTTCGAAATTCTTAATTATTTTAATTTGGTTTCAGAAATTTAATGTTTTTTAAAACTTATTTGATGAATATTGTTAGTTTCTATGATTGTAGTTATTTAAAACAAAAAACATTGTTTTTGTTTTTAAAGAAAATATTATAGTTTTTTATATAATATTACTTTTAACTATTTTTACTGTAACTTATTTTTAAGCTATTTATTTAAAAATTGTTAATGATTATAAAAAATAGTTTCATGGTTTTTTTTTGTTAATTTACGATTACAATTTAGGTTTAACACTATAATTTATACTCTTTAACTATTTATAAAACAGTCTTTCGATTTTTTTCAAGTTTAACTGAAATTTTGATTTAAGTTAACTGTTTAATATTATATTGAAATTAATAATTTAACTATTTTGCATCAACTCATAAATTATAAAAATGTTTTGACTTTAAAATGATAATTGCTCACAAATGACAACATATTTAAACTAATAAGTTAACTATAATATGTTAAAACGTTAAAGTCATAATTTTATAAACATAAATAAATATGATATTTTAATATTGTAGTTTAGTCAATCGTTTGAATGACTTCTACTGGCGAGTTACACATGAATAAAACTAAATATAATATATGGTTTAATGTTATTTATAGTTGTTGTTATTGTTAATTAACTTTTTAACATTTATTTGCTTAATATTTTAATTTCTATCATTATAATTTTTTAAAACACCAAGCATTGTTTTTTTATTTTAAATGTAACAATATAATCATTTGTATAGAGTTATTTTTAACTATTTTTATTGTAAGCTATTTTAAGCTACTTATTTGAAAACTTTTAACGATTATAAAAATATCTTTAGGAAATATTTTAGTTAAACTGAGATTACAATTTTGTTTTTGCATTTATCACTACAATTTATCAGTTTTAACTATTTACAAAATTCTTTGGTTTTTTAAGTGGAAATGAAATTTATATTTAAGTTGATACTATAATGTTATATTTAAATTAATAATTTAAGTATTTTGTCCAAACTGTTCAAAAATTTGTACCTTTAAACTGATAATGGTTTACATACAACAACATTTTAATTCTGATAAATTAAGTATAATATATTAAAATTTAAAGACATAACTTTATAAGTAGAAGTAAATATATTATTTTAAAATTGAAATTTACTTTATTTATGATTACACTTTAGGTTTGATATTTATTTAACTTTATTAACCAACTTATAATCATTATTAGAAAGACACTACAATTTATCTCTTTTAACTATTTACAAAATATTTGTTGGGTTGTTTAAGTTAAACTAAAATTTATATTTAAGTTGTGTGACATCCCCATTTTCACGGCCAGAAAAGACCGATTTTGTTTATGCTTTATAAAAATCAGAGTACTTCTTTTAATAAAAATCTTGCGGAATTTGTTCCCAGAAAAACATGATGAATACGTTATCAAAGCATTTCCGAAGAAATGTATTTTTATTCATTTTAAAACATTTGGGATATCATCGTCAATACAGAAACATAAGCATAAACAGAACTTACATTCATTTACACTAGTGATCTACATCTCTTTTAAATCTCTCAGTGTAAAGTAACTTCATATCGACACCTGTGATACAAATAAACTGAGTAGGTCGGGTTGGGAAACCTGGTGAGTACATAGGGTTTTCAACCCACAATAATATAATTATTATGTTTAATCATCAAACAATTAACCCAATTACCCATCCCCATTATCTTATTTACTCTTAAGGATTACCCTAAGAATCAGCTATTCCTTGTTCATTCTTTCCTAAGGATTATCCTAAGGAATCGGCACAAAGTCCAACGTCGCCACGGTTTACCCAACAGGCACTAAGTTCATAGTCACCAGGGTTTAGGCACTAAGTCTGCATAGTCGCCAGGGTTTATACAACAGGCACTAAGTCCATAGTTACCAGGGTTTAGGCACTAAGTCTGCATAGTCGTCAGGGTTTATCTCGTTTATTGACAATATTATTTTCGATAGTCCACTCGCAATACATGTTAATGGGTTTTTTTAGAGTACACCGGGTGAGCACATCGTTCACAACACCTACAGGTTGCGAGCCTGCTAGTGTCCCACTGGACTGTCTAGAATCGTTTGTGGTTGTCATCCATACTCTGCTAGATGACAGGGCCAACGCTTGGGTAAAAGGCTTCTCTCATTGTTCACCTCTCACCCTTATCTCATGGTCTATATCACCTCTCATCTCATCATCCAACTCATATTTCATCTACCCATCTTTTACCCATCATAATTATAGGTATAAAATACATATACAGTTTAAAATAATTAAAACATGTATATTTTTGTTCATCCAGCATAAATATTAAGTACACAGATAATATGCACACATAGCACGTAATTTATACTAAATACTTTATATCTATGTGTAAGATGAAAGTAACTATGCACTCACTTGTTAAAGTGATGATTCCAAACTCGGACAGCGCTTCGCTTCTTAACAATATAATTTCCTTCGACGAAACCTAGTATTATTACCACTAGATTTTAGTCTAATATTTATTGCGACTAATTATTAGTCTAGATTCGTCATTAACTCAGAGTCTACTTCATGATCTATCAAGTAAGGATCGGCCAGGCAGAACAGTTGGGAGGCAGGACCATTTCGGCATATAGCTTTTCTGAAATCCAACAACCAAACCCAACGTGACCATTCTAGACACCTCTCCCGTAAGTAGTTCAATCAGTATAACGACTTTGAATCACTGATAAATTTTATTTATAGGTTCATAATAACGATATTATAAGCTATATTTAAAGTAGGGTAGCATAACTTACTTAGCTAGGAGTCGGGCTCTGCAGGGGCAGAACTTCGTCGCTGAATCTTTCTAAGAAAGATTCTTGCAGCGCTTCAGCGCTCACCTTACTATACTAAAAACTACAGAAAGAGAAGTCGAATCACGAGGGACCGAAATGCTCGGGGGATAAGAAGAGAAAGACTCTTGAATCAAGAGAATGGTGCAATAAATATGAGTGCTAGAGGCTCTTATTTATAATGATTGAATTTTCAAAAACTACCATCCATAGTTACTTAATGACCTTATAGTTATATAAACGACTAAACACCCCTTTATAATACTATTTTAAATAGATTTAATGATATTTGTACTAAACTAATGTCGAAAGTACTCAACACTAGTCTTATAACGACCGCATCGTCGATACCTTTCTAATGATATATACATATGTATATATATGTAGACGTATATATGATTTACACTTTATTTTAATACGTAAATGTGCTATTAAAAATTATTACTCGTTCATACGAACTCCGTTTTTGACGTTCTTTATATCCACGTGTAGCTATCGACGAGATCTATAACTTTCGTTTAGACTCCGTCGGCTAATTTTGAATTTATATTTTTGTCCATATTTTTATAAAATTAAATAATTCTGTTAAAATCATAACTCTCTCGTACGGACTCCATTTTTGGCATTCTTTTTTTTAAACTTCCTATTTTAAG